AACAGTAAAACTAAAAGAGTATGAGTTTTTTTGTGAAGCAGTCTCTCTTTTTTCCTCTTTGAATACATATACAATTTATAAACAGTATTTTACTATATAACTGGGAAATAGCGAATATGTCATGTCGGAAGTACGTCACGAAGCACGACGCAAGTAGTTTACCGCATCCGCGTTCAGTAAACCAATCACAATCCGACTCTTCGAGAGCTTGGCCAATGAACGCTGCGAATGATTTTTAAAAACCCAGGCGGCGAGTTATTTAGCTCAGCATGCTGTAGTGTTTACAATCCGCTTCGTTTGTCGGGGGAAATCTGATCCAAGATGGGAAAAGGTAAAAGAATAAGCTTGCAAATTTGCGTTTCACTCACATACGTGCATCCGTTTGGCGAACTTGTTTGGTTGCGGGGAAAAAAATATGATTGAGATTTAGTTTCAAAATGTTGCATCGTTATATACTCGCGCTTTCTGCGATCAGTAGGGATGCGGTGCATAACTTACATTCTGCAGCTCGAATGTTGCAGCATGCAAACACATATTTTGAGAAGTAAGCATTGTTCATGTTCTCATTAGGCAAAAAGTCCGCTTCAGCCAAACGAAGACCTGGAGACGGCAGGATAAACGAGAAAACTGAAGAGGCCAAAGAGAACAAGCACGGAAAGCCCACGGTAGGAGAAAAGCGTTTATATTCGTCCGGTACGAGCTGTATGGCTGATTATTACTCAGCGATGTAGTGCACGTATAGTCGCCTTTGTCATAAATCAATTGATGTAATATTTCAATTTGTGTCTCAGGCATGCAAAGGGCAGCCAACAATACAAAGTTGTCTGAATCTCAGCAAGCCGCTCCGGAATAAACATGTAGAGGACAATTTAGCAACGGGCCGTTTCCCTGAAGACACGAGCAAACCGACTGAAGGTATCCGTTTAGATCGTATTAAAGGGATAGTTCACCCAAAAATGAAAATTCTGTCATTAATTACTCACCCTCATGTCGTTCCAAACCCGTAAGACTCCGTTCATCTTCGGAACACAAATTAAGATATTTTTGAAGGAAACTGAGAGCTCTCTGTCCCTCCCATAGACAGCAAGGGTCCTTACACGATCAAGGTCCAGAAACGTAGCAAGGAGATCGGTAAAATAATCCATGTGACATCAGGGGTTCAACGGTAATTTTATGAAGCTACGAGAATACTTTTTAAGCGCAAAAGAAAAGAAAAAAAAGACTTTATTCAACAGTTTGTCTCCTCCGCGTCACCCTAGCGCCATTTTGGAGAGTATCCACTGAAAGTAAATTGCATATGCTGTTTTGTGTCAGCTGCGCCAAGCGGATACGCTGTTTACGCTTTGATTTGAACGAAAACAACGTATCCGTGTGGTATGGCTGACACAGAACAACATATGCTGTTTGCAAAATGGCGCTAGGGTGACGCGGAGGAGACGAAATGTTGAATAAAGTCGGTTTTTTTCTTTCTTTTGCGCTTAAAAAGTATTCTCGTAGCTTCACAAAATTATGGTTGAACCCCTGATGTCACATGGATTATTTTACCGATCTCCTTGCTATGTTTCTGGACCTTGATCGTGTAAGGACCCTTGCTGTCTATGGGAGGGACAGAGAGCTCTCGGATTCCTTCACAAATATCTTAATTTGTGTTCCGAAGATGAACGAAGGTCTTACGGGTTTGGAACATCATGAGGGTGAGTAATTAATGACAGAATTTTCATTTTTGGGTGAACTGTCCCTTTAACGAAATACCCATTTACCATTGTGTTTCACCCAAATACTTTTCTCCAAAGTTGGTTTTACTTACTGCTGTCTTCTTTCTTTGGTTAGTCAAGGATGCAGAGCTGAATGCACCTAAAGGAGGGGAAACTGGCAAACAGAGCCCTATCTGTGGAGCTAGTGAGCAGACTGCTGCTGTGCATCAGAAAGGGTCTGGGACAAGGACGCAAAGGATAAATGGTGAAAAGTCAACAGATAGGAAGTATGTCTACTTTTAAATGGCTAAGAAATTGTTGAACGTTTTGACGGTTTATCATCTGATTAAGGGACATATTATGGGTGTGTTTACTGTTTTTGAATGAAAGCGAAGGTTTATATGCATCCTTTTCACTGGTCTTACTGTGTGTTTATCTCATTTCAGATTGAAAGACAAACAGTCTGAACCCAATCGAAAGGTCACAGATTATTTTCCTGTTAGACGAAGTTGCAGGAAAAGCAAAGTTGAGTTGAAGGTTGGTAAACCCTTCCAGAATCTGAATTTTTATTTTTTATCATTTAGTCATTTTCTAAATGCGTTATAGAGCTTATTGTGTAATATTCATCCATAAATGTTTCACTTAAAAAAAAAATAAAAAAAAATTCTGTTTTCATACCTGGATCTTCTGATAAAAATGTCACTTCTCTCTGGTGACGTGCAGGACTTCAATCGTTTAGGGGGCCTTTACACAACCGTTTGCAACAATAACGGAAAACTTTTTATGCATTTTGGCCATTCATAAATCTCACGTTATTGGGGTCGCTTCAACCCATGGAAACGGTGTTAAAGTAGCCCAATTTGGCAACACTGGTGCAAAGGCGTGTAGTGTTTCTTTACAAGGAGACATCGCCAACTACTGGCCTGGCATCCATAATACAGCATTTTTAGTCGTTTTTGCAGAGCTGGGATCATTTTGATAATGTTGTCATCTATATGCATAACTTTTCAAAATCACAAAGGAACTTTTTTTTTCTTCTGTTTATAGTACAATCGTTGTCATGTAAATGAACCCTTAATGTGCATTAACTCCGCCCCTGCAATCTTTGATGGCCACACCTACATTTCATAAACCAATAATAATTGATGCGTTGAACCAAGTCCCACTCTACGCTATTTTTCCATTATACTCGTATCACAATACAGAAGAAGTGCGTGCTGCTATTTGAGTTTTGTTGTGATTTTAAGTTAAAATGGGGCATTTTTGGTTTTAGAACCCCTTTTCTGATACCAATTTACATTTGATGAATCAATTTTAACATGCATTTACTTTACCATTGTCAAACGTTTATTAAATCCCAAGCTAAATGTGGAAGTGTTGTGTTAAAACAGTGTGAAAAGCAGCGGCACATTGATGATCTCATCAAAAACAATGTTGAAGAGGGGCTCAAGGTAAGCTTTTTAAGCAATCGCTCTACATTTTAACTTAACCGTTCATGCCTTGGTTGAAGCTTCTGCTATTCTCAAAATCAGGTGAAAAGTATTGAAGGAAAAGGAAGAGGTGTTTTTGCAGACCGAGCGTTTCAGAAAGACCAGTTTGTAGTGGAGTATCATGGGGATTTGTTAGAGATTGCTGATGCAAAGGCAAGAGAAACTCAATATGCTGAAGACCCAACCACTGGCTGCTACATGTACTATTTCCGCCACCACGACAAAACCTACTGGTGAGTATTTTGGTGTGTTTTCTCACTTTGGGCATTGATACGCTTTAATGAAGTGAACATTGCGACCTGTATGAACTAGGGTTGCAAAAGGGGTGGAAAATTTCCAAAAATCCCTGGAATATTCCAAAAAATCCTGGAAAGTTCCCAAAATTTCTGGAATGTTTCTAAAATTTGCTGTAAATGTTCTACCTTTTTGCAACCCTAGTATGAACCGAGCTGAACTCCTCAGTTGGGTCTGTTAAATCTCTACTTGGAATTGAGAGAAAATGGTAAGACAGATAAAAATTGTGTTTACTTTTTTCTAGTGTGGATGCTACCAAAGAAACCAACCGACTGGGCCGGCTGATCAACCACAGTAAGACTGGCAACCTTCGGACCAAACTGCACGAGATAAATGGCACACCTCACCTCCTCTTCCTGGCTTCCAGAGACATCGGAGTAGACGAGGAGCTGCTGTATGATTACGGTGACCGCAGTAAAGAAGCCGTCGCTGCTCATCCTTGGCTAAAGCACTAATTCACTCGGTTTAGTAGTTTTCTGCTGATAGAATCTAAAGGGAAGTGGTATAATGTTAACATGCAATGATGTTGAGTCGCCAAAGTAGTTCACCATTACAGATGGTACCATAAAATGAATTGTCTTGTCTTTTGAAAGACGCACAGTAGCTGTAACTTATTGTTTTTAAGTGTTTTTTACATCTTCGGTTGAGGCTGAATGATATGAACCTTTCGAGCTAATTGTTTAAACTGTTGTAAAAAGTTCATTTAATGAAAATGTGCTCACCCTCGTGTCATTCTAGACTTTTAGGACTCTTTTCTTCTGAAGAACAGAAGATATTTTGAAGCATGTTTCAGCTGTTTTTGTTCACTCAGTGGAAAGGAGTAATTGGATAAAAATATCTTGCACAAGAAAGATAAAGTATAATTGTTGGGAATAACACGAGGGTGAGCAAGTGACCAGTTTCTTTATTTGGTTGAACTATTCATTTTAATAAGGGCTTGTTTAAGAACACGCGTCTGATTTTAAGGATAAGATTAATATTCAAATGGGTGTAGTTACTGTACATTTGTATATGCAAAAATAAGTGTTTAATCGTAAAGCAATTATACCACATTTTTATGAAATTATTGGTTTTGATTCCTTTATCTTTAACCTTTGTTAAATTTTATAAGGATTTGTAGCATTACGGAAGCACAATATAAACCATATGCCTATTTAAAAAAAAAAGGAAAAAAGCTTTAAAATGGAGTGCAAAAAACTTTTCATTTTTTTTTAAATTTATTTTTTTTTTTTTTTTTTTTTAAATCACAAATACATTTATTATTGAAAAAGAAATCAATCTTCAAAGCCTAACTTCCAAATGGTCTACCATTTTAAAAACTTGACCACTACTGTAATTCCAATCAGAAGAACCTATGGCTAAGTGATACACTTGCTATTTTTTTTTATATATATATATATATTGCAACTTATCCTACAAAGAAACATGTGGTGTTAAGCACCACTGTAAAGTAGGAGATAAATACTAGAAAACTGAATTCTGTAAACATGCTTATATAGCAAATTAAAGGAACGGACAGTTTTGTCCTAAAGCTTGTCAGCCGTTGCAACCGATACAGACTGAAGAGGTTTTCTAATTCAGTAAGCACTCAAATAAGATCTTAGAGCCTCATATGGCATATATATACATATAAATCAATATATATAATATAAGTCATCAATAATAATAATAATAATATATATCAATAATATAAGTTTCAGCAGATTTAATTAGGTTTAGTACTATCACCAAAATAGTACCTAAATGTGTCTGTGCTATTCATAAAATGACTGATATAAAATTGATTCTAGTAATGTCATAATATTTCAGTAAAAGATACTGTGGTAATGGAAGAATGTTAATGTTAATCTAGTATGCTTCAAATGGTCTGCAAATGTGTATTAGCTACTAGAGGTGTTTAGAGACATTTGAGTTTCTGACATCTAGTCATTCATGTTTGTCTTCACACACAACACCAGAGTTAAAAATGTACACAATTAAAAACACCGAGTAGGAGGATTTCCAGCCACAAATGGGTCAGTATTGTTAAAAAAAATATAATAGTGAGATCACTTGTTCCCATCTCTCCTCAGTCTGTTGGAAGGGGCTTTGCTTGTCTCAAATGTGTTTTAGCTTGTGCCAAATCCTGGCCACTATTTTTGTCGAAACGAGAATCTGAAAAAGAGAGAGAGGGCGCAGTTTGTCAGCAAGATGACAGCGACACAATGAGTCCAAAAATACGGTCGGTGTAGCAAAGAGCTATTCAAAATCTAAAACAGCATTCTTCTTTAGAGCAAGACGTTTGTAGGGAAAAAGGTAGCGTGGCTTAATGCACAGTTGTGGACGTACGTTTACCCAGCACCTGTGTCAGCTTTAATAAATCTCTGCCAATCACTAAAGAAATGTCATAAACATCTTCAATAAAGGTGCAAGCATTCACTGATGCTCAAGAAGGAAACATGATGCATAAAGAGATGGAGGTGAACATTTCAAAAAGTTTACACTCTCTGGATAAGAATTTCAATTATTTTACTCTTTTTTTTAAAATTTTTTTTTTAATTATTATTATTCATGAGAATTCTGTGAATAAAGGTGCAAGCATTCACTGATGCTCAAGAAGGAAACATGATGCATAAAGAGATGGAGGTGAACATTTCAAAAAGTTTACACTCTCTGGATAAGAATTTCAATTATTTTACTCTTTTTTTTTTTAAATTTTTTTTTAAATTATTATTATTCATGAGAATTCTGTGAACTTAGAATTTTGTGATTTTTAATGAATGACCAAAATGATGATAAGAACAGGGAACACAAAAGGAAAATGACATTTTCCATGGTCTGTTTTGCTCGTATATATCAATGGTGGCAATACTGGTGGAAGGCACTGTAGCAAGTTTAAAAAGTTAAATTCAATCCAATAACTAAATATCTTTTATTACATCTTTGGTAAGGAGATTTTCCTTGCCACAGCCATTTTTAGCTTACTCACTGGACGCTCAAAGACATTAGAGCACACTTCTTATGAAGCTATTGACATTAAAACGCATATCTCTGTAAAGCTATTTTGAAACAATATTCATTTTATGATTTTGACAAATGTATAACTCAAGATAGAAGCGTAGACTCCAAACCTGCTTCACCTTCCCACTACTGCTCACATGAGTCTTCAATAAATTAATAAAGGAACAGAATTTCAACAAGACACGGCGGGTTTACAGGTACACACGCCTGCTTTACAATACTGGCATATGCATTTTAAGTAACTTTTACACTACCTGTCGAAAGTTTGTAAGAAATACAGTTTTTCAATGTTTTTGAAAGAAGTCTCTTCTGCTCACCAAGCTACATTTATTTGATCAAAAATACAGTAAAAACAGTAATACTATCAAATATGATTTAAATTCAACTTTTCTATTTGAATATATTGTAAAATGTAATTTATTCCTGCGATCAACGCTAAATTTTCAGCATCATTACTCCAGTCTTCAGTGTCGCATGATCCTTCAGAAATCATTCTAATATGCTGATTTGGTGCATTAGAGACTTCTTACAAAAACATTTAAAAAACGTAATTATTCCAAACTTTTCACTGCTGGTGTATCTGATATCCTGATGGGACAGCTACTTGGCTCCATTAAATCTGACTGTTCCATTTGCCCCCAAAAATTAATTGTCAAAGAGTCTTAAAGGCACAATATGTAATTTTCGCCGCTAGAGGGCGCGTATTCAAAACAAACAGACAAAGGCGTAGTTTGTTAATGTCGTGACTGAGTGTGGAATCATTGGAGTTGTGGTCTTCATCCCCACAGCTGATGCAATCCGACGGGACTCGGGCAGAAATCATGTTCATGGATGAGCTAATGATTTATTAACGTAGTAGAATGAAGCCGGGTGAGGCTGAAAGCCGTCGAAGCGAAACGAGGCGCTGAACGAGCGTGACACACAGCTCGAAAGCAGCGGAGCTTTTATTACGCCACAGTCGTCCGCTTCCGCTCCTTCCGGTCGTGCGTATGTGGGGGGAAAAAAAGCAGTGCTGTTTTATCATACTAGATACATTTGAAAGTTCTGTTATAATGCTACTCTGTGCGGTCGTCACCGGTCTATTAAAACGCACAACATATTAAAAGCGTCTTTGGTGTTTCCATGTTTTCTACAAAACAAAACCGGAAATTGAGGGGTTATGACGTCATTGGCAGGCGACACAATGACACTATGGACACGGTCCGTGTCACTAGTTAAAATTGCTTATTTCTCTGGATTTAAACTATCTTCGAAACATTTGGGATAAAGTACACAAGTCAGCAAAATATATAACACTGTTCTAGTGGTTTTTGGATATTTTAATAAAAAAATCTTACATATTGTGCCTTTAAATATGTCATTTCTAAATGTCATGAATATTTGAACTGAAACTTAGTTGATTTACCATTATTACAATTAAAACGGTACATCAGCCATTTTTTTCTCCTACTTTCGGATGAATGAACACAAGTATAAGGACTGATGTGGAAATGCACAAAGCTCAGGCAAAGACAAAACTAGTTAAAAGCGCTCACAGTTTCTGAATGGTGCTCTTCTCTTTGTTCTCCTCTATAACGCTGGACGGTGCAGCTTCTGACTGAGGAAGGGTCTCCAGGTTTACTTCCACCATCTTCTTTTCTGATCCCAGGACCCCACTGCAAGCACAGCAGACGCTAAATCTGACTGAGACCACACATATCAAATTCATTATTGCATGATGTTGTTTCACTCAGAATTGTTTTAGTTGCTGTTGAGATTAGGCCAAACCAGCACACAAGTCACACTTGTATAATACATAGTTTATAACTTCCCTGTAAATTACTTCTTGCTAGTTGACAGTAGTATTAAAGGGATAGCTCACCTAATAAATCCTAGCCATATACATAACATGTTTTCTTCTGCAGAACACACAGAAAGATATTTTGAAGAACACTGGACTCAATGGACACGGACACAATTTTCAAAATATCTTCTTTTGTGTCCCACAGAAGAAAGATATAACATGTTTGACAACGCGAGTAGACTTCCATGTTATTCACAATTTGCACACAACATGCTGTATAATGAAATAACACAGAAACACAGCCGTTTACGAATATATAGTAACTCTGTAGTGACGTAAGTTGTGTTAGCAGCACTAACACCCTCTGAAACCCTGTTTTTACCTCTTGTAGAGCTGTAGCTCCTCTTGGGCCACCAGCAGCTGGGCTTTGAGTTTGTTTCTCTCCTGCAGAACCTCCTTTAACTCCTGCATGGTGAATCGGGGTCGGTTTGGGTCTTTTAAGTCCACGACTAGTTTGTTTGGCCCAACAGTCTGCTATTAAACAATACAATTTGTATATATAAGTGTTTGCACAAACTGGAAATAGATTGTGACTTTTTAAATCAAGAATCCTTTGCTGTCAAGTTTTTAAATAAGTCAAATATTCAGTTTCACTTGTTACAAGGCTACAAGACCATTAATATGCATTAAGAAAAATACATAGGGTCAATTTTGATTTGCGTGCCTACTTTAACTCTAGATGCCTTTTTGGGGTTCCCACTTTGAGTTCTGCTCATAAGCAATATACATAGTGTGGTAAAGGAATATATTGACAGCATTTGTGGCATAATGATTACCACTCATCCCTCCTTTACTTTATGTATAAAAAGCAAAAATCAAAAATACTCAGTTTCAATAGTACACAGACGTCACAATAATAAACCCTAAAACGACTGCAAAAATTACGATTTAACCAGCTTTACAGCTCAAGTAATACAGACGTTTTAATAGAACAATTATTGTTTCATATTTGTGCTTTTATAGGAAGTGTTCACCCCAAAATGATGTTAACTGATGGACTGGAGTGGTGTGGATTATTGTGATGTTTTTATCAGCTGTTTGGACTCTCATTCTGACGGCACCCATTCACTGCAGAGCATCCATTGCTGAGCAAGTGATACAAATCTGACGAAGAAACAAACTCATCTACATCTTGGATGGCCTGAGGAGTACATTTTCATTTTTGGGTGGACAATTCCTTTATGTTCTCCCAAAATCGACCCCACTCGCTTTTGTGCCTCGTTATCACCTCGTTTTTTTAAAGGGGTCATATGATGTTGCTTTGGATTTGAGACTTTAGTCTTTGCAATTTTATAGATCTTCTTTAGGCACCAAGAGCTTGTAACACTCCAAAAAGAAAGGAAACATTTAAATCGCATCATATGGCCCCTTTAAGAAAAGGAAGAGTCGAAATTATTTTTGTGATAATCAACATTACGCTATAAATGCTGTCGACTGAGCTTAACTTGTATTGAACCGGAAATATTCCTTTAAATAGAACCGAATGTGATGATGCATATACAGTGAACTCTACATGACCCCACTCACAGTGTTAACATTACCACTCGAACCTTCTGCTACAACTCTTTCCATTTCTCGCTTCATATTCTCCAGTTCCATCCTCAGCTCCTCCAGCGACAGGTTGTATTTGTTCACCATGGTCTCAAACATCTCCAACACACGGACGATTTTGAACTGTAAATCCGAGAACTCCCGGCTACCCGTGTTGACTTTTAATAAATCTCTGCCGATCACGTAAGAAATGTCATAAACATCTTCACAAGTCATTTCCAAAACGTCCTTATCGAAAGCCTGCATGGGTGAACTATCGTGTCGCCCCTCCATTCTGATTCCAAGACGAACTATGCAATCACTGTAAAAAAACAAAAACGAGGAATCTTTCCAAGATATGGCGAGTTCCAGCTCACCGTCCCAATGCATTCACAAATTACCCGACTTCCTTCCTCTTCCAAACTGGATCCTCGACTTTACTGCAACTTACTTTGAGCGTTTGAGAGACGTGTGAACCAGCCAATGGCTGAGCCGCTGCATGAACAAATCATGAACAACAATTTAGTTAAAAACGTATCACCTTTCACTACACAAAGAGACCAAAAGAACCCACTGATAAGCGGCAACAAAAAAATATCACAATATCATTTTTATTATCATACACTAGAGGAGATGAGAGTAGACTCTCGGTTGTAAACATGCTTTTACTGCTAAATTATTATCTAGAGCTGACTGCAGCACGTACAGGAAGATGTGCCATCCAATGTGTTCAGTGGCGAAGTAAATAAATGTGAACATTTGATAATTTGTTTTTTTACAGCACAAAAGTGAAAATCGTGAAAATAGAATTCCTTGCACCATTACTGACCTATTTATTTATTTATTTGCAGTCAGAGCTGGTAGTAACTGATTACATGTAATCTGGATTACATTCCAAAAATACTTGTAATTAGATTAAAATATATTTTAAAATACTCGTAATCAGACTACAGTTGTACTTTTTTTTATTGATTACATGATTACGTATTATTCACACAATAGCAATAAATAATTCATATTTTATTGATTCTCCCTAATTCCTCTTTTAAAATTTTCCTTTCTATAATATCCTACCGATTATACATTCAGAAAGTCTTCCAGTTTTGTGGATTTTCACACAAAGACCAGTCACTAGTCAGGAGGCTATGCCACTGGATTTACAAAAAAATCATTTCAGGTTTAAAAAGAGTTTCAACGTTGCATCAACTACTAATGAACATATTGATTTTTATTTGAATTATCACTCAGTAGGTTATTTAACCATGTATTACTTTGTCTTTGTAAGGCTTTTGTCTTTCAAACACATTAAAATGCACAAATTCACGTTATTTCTTATTTACGTGTAATGCAGGGATTCCCAAACTTTTTTTGTCAGCCAAACCTCTTTCACCTAATATATTTACTTAAAGTACCCCTGAGATTTTAAAATAAATATTTTTATAGGCCTAATTAAGTATCACATTTGCATGTTCACAGTTAATGGTCACATGACATGCAGGTAAATAAATAAATTACTTACATTTTTTTAATAAGTGTTTTATTTCTTCTTTATGCACCAAGAGCTTGTAACACTCCAAAGAGAAAGGACAAATTGAAATCGCATCATATGACCCCTTTAATTAATTATTAACTCTTCATTAAACTCACAAACCCCCTACAGTTCCTTTACGAACCCCAGTTTGGGGAACCTTAATGTAATGTTTAATGCACTTCATGTTGGAATCAGTAACGGACTACAATTTGTAAATAATCAACCCAGCTCTGGTTGCAGAATATATAAAAAACACATATACATGTGACATCACTTTTATTCATATTTCTGAAAAGGATCAAATAGAATATTCTGTAGCTTGACCATTAAGCTAAAACTGAATTATTTAACAGAATTCATGTCAAAACATCTGTTTGTCATTGAAAAAATGGCTGCATTTTTTTATTTAGTACTGCCTTGAATAAGCTATTTCACATTACAGATGTTTACATATAGAACACAAAATAATAACAGAATTTTTCAGATTATTTCAGGAAATTTTTCAGAAACGTATTCTTGAAGTGTCACGTGTGTGTAAGATGTTGATTTTCTCTGGTGTCAGGTGAAAGCTCTCAGCACTGCTCTATCAGGACTCCTCGAGGAGAAGAAGGGTGGATGAACTCTCACTGATCTTCACTCAAGCGTGTGCTGTTTTCACTCTGTGCCAGACCGCGGTATTGTTGTGTATTGATTCAAGTTAATTAAGTGAATTGTTTCTTGTTGTTACGCTTTGATAATAAGTGCTGTGTTGATTTAGTCACCTTATTTGTTGGTAAGACTATCCTTAGCTGTTTTTTACGTGCTATTGCGTAGACAGTAGCTTATTCATTCTTATTGTTGGATTTCTGTGGAAGCAAATATTTTTATCTTTTGTTTTCTTAAGGTTAGTTTGATCCTTTGGTAGCTGTAGGTAATTTTTTGGTTATCCAGCATCTTCTGCACATTGCGTTCTTTCCAACACTGCCTGTTGACATGACTTTTCACACTTATGACAATTGATGCACTCATACACAACTATTACAAAAGGTGCACACATTCACTGATGCTCAAGGCAACACACTACACACTAAGAACCTAAAAAAAAAAAAAAAAAGTTTTCATGACCTCCAGACTAGAACGTTGTAGTTGCAAAAAATAAGCTTAAAGCTTCATGCAACCGTATCAGCTCAATTTTGTCATCACTTCATTAGTCGCATGTCAGGTTTCATATTGACTTCTGCTGATTACATACAAAGCTTTGAAGGATCTAGTCCCTTGTTACTTATGTGACCATCTATTGCACTTTTAATGGCTGCACAATTCCAGCCTGCTTATAATAAGCCCCATAATCCACCAAAAGATGTACTGTATATCCTTTTGCTTTGTCTCCAAAACTATACTGAATAGTCGTTTTAGCAATGTTTGGGACACAGACACACTCTCTCAATGTAAGTCTAGACGCCTAATTCGTTCTTTACAGTTTGGTCTTGCTGTAAAAGTCTTCAAATCATGACCTGTGCCAAGCGACCAGTGAGGGACATTTCAAGGTTCATCATCTGCATCACTTCAGTCTTCTATAATTGACCTTATACAGTTCAGTCAGTATTGTAGCCTCACATAGCCACTTAATTATTGACATGATGATTTATCTGTATAGCCCGAGGAGAATCGGTCCCCTGGTGTGTCACACAACCCGTGCATGCATGTCCTGGCTCCTCCGAGCCCACACTATGGCGTCGTAATGCCGCATAGTAGTCCTCCGTGAGAGAGACACACTGCGCATGCTCAGTATCCTCCTTGTTCCAGACAGTGGGAGTCATCGAGCGCCTTCTGTGCTGTCGGCATTCTCAACTGTGCATGAACTGAAGTCGGCTCGTCTGCGATCCTCGTGATGGACTCTCAGAAAGTAAGTGGCACACAATGAAAGTGTTTTGAGTCTAATATCTGAAATGTCGCAGCGGTCCGTCGCTCACGCGCGCAGCAGCACCGTTAACAATCGTACGGCTCTGTGAATAGACACTCCTTTACATTCATACTAATGCTGCGTAAAACGAATATGCCGTGTTCACTGTAAGTGTCATCTGGTCTCGTGGCCTTTATGAATTGACATGGGCGATTTATAAATAGTGTTTGACCTGTAGCTGTAGCTATATTCATGATTAGGATTTATATTAGACCATGTGTTTTGTGTTGCCGGTTGATAAAATGTTACCTTGATGTCCGGTGTTACGTTGCATTGGACTGAGCCCTTGTTACATAATACGAATGTATTCTGTGCTATATATAAATTACAGTAGCTCAACGTTGTGGCCCATTCTGAAAAATGTGTTATTATGTTGATAAACGATACAGATTAGCCTATATAACGATTTGTGAACATTAGGTTAAATGACGAAATATTAACATTTTGCTAGCATTACTGAAGCTACAGGGTTCATAAGACTCTTAAGTATCATATATCATAGGTTTCTGTGATTGCATAGCACCTGCGCTCCCAAGTTTACTTCGATAAAGATAGAGGAAGTGACACCAGGCAGGTAGAAATAAATAACAGTGTGCATATTAACTGTAACATGTCTGTAAACGCACACAGAACATCTGATTTTATGCCTGCTTACTGTGTTGTTCTTCCACAGTATGTTATGACAGCTGTGATGAACCTGTGAGGAAGCTGTCAAAGTCATCTTTGTCTTGAGTGTTTGCATAGGTGTGTTGCATCTCTGTGTATTAGTGTCTGCCCTTGGCAACATTAAATGCAAGTCACGTTGATAAGTTTAGCATGGTGTATAATGACTAATTATAATGCAATAATTATTATGCAGCTTCATATTTGCCATGTTTTGATTATTGAATCAAGAATCATGTGTATATGGTAGTCTGATAACATTGGTAATACACATTTGTGCATGTTTCGGTTGAGGCAGGGAATAAACTAGCACACAATCCGAGTACAATCCGACTGTATTGTCAGGAAGTGGGTCATGCCGTTGTGGGTCTTCAAAAGGAGTCCGATTTCAAAGGCGATGCAGAATGTAACTTTGGACTTTTTTCAACGGGTGGTCGCTCTGTTCACCTGGAACTCAAAATTCAATCTCACCTGGAGTCTAGCAGTCAGAGGAAACGTGAGCGGATCAGATTGCAGCCCCTGAAAGTTAGATCAGCTTTACTGGCCTCCATAAACGCCTCAATGATAAGTGTAAGCATGTGAATGTGTTACAAAGGTGGACCTTATTGTTGGCTGGTTTCTAATTCTGCGCTTCAGGGTGTGGATCTGTGGTGGTCAAAGAGCAAATTACAGATAGTTAGAACCAAATCTGTCTTATATATGTCTGAACTAGGTCAGCTATGGCTTCTCATGTTTCCCTTTGCAGTTGGCTGTGCATCTTGTGCCGACTAAACTGACTTGAACGCACCTGACGTCGTAATTACGACTTGTCAACTCGTAAGTACGAACGTCCCAGGAGGACTTGAACGCAGCATAAGCTTCGAGTTGTGGAACTGCAAGCGGAATGTAACACACAGACCGTTTCAAGCGTGTGAAATCTTTAGACATTTTAAAACTGATCTGAATGGTAAACATCCTCAATAGTTTAAGACAAATATCAGTGCCAATATTCCTTTAAAGGGCCTGCTCACATGATATTTACTCGGTTATTTCTTTGTTTTTCTTCACACATCACATGTCCCATTGTCTAATATTTCATCTCAAGTATGTTCTTTACTGATGCTATTGTCTCTTTGGTAAACAAGTACACTAACTTAAGAAAAAAATATTAGAGGCATAATTATTTGGTGTGGTGGAAATGATGTGCGAAAAAATACCCTATTGGGCACCCTATTCACCCTATTTATGTTTTAAATGCATGTTATAGATCTTATTGTAA